GAACACAAGCCCCCTGGCCACCAGAGCCAGGCATTCCAGGGGCACCATTAGGCAGCAGCCACAAAGAACAGGGCACCAGGCCTGGGTAAGAGCTCCCCTCTGAGATGATGGTGCTCTGGGGTGCGGCGGAGGGAAGGTGGCACTGGCCTTCACTTACAGTCAGCCTGTAGATGTGTGTTTAGTTGGGTGCCTGCCCCACAGCTGCAGCTGACAGGGTAAGCCTGAGCTCCTGGGTCTGCTGCCCCCTACTGTGCCCTGGGCATGGTAGCTGCCTGAGAACTGTCCCTGTTGGTTGCTGTCCTGTAGGACCCCAAGTATAAGCCTTCCTGGCCTCCAGAGCTGGGGGGACAAGGGGGCATCCCCTGGCCCACAGCCACAAAAATGGGGGCACCAGATGTAAAATTCAGGACTTGGACTTGTGTAGAAGCTTCCCTCAGAGACATGCTAGTGGTGTGGAGTGTCGCAGAGGGACAGCATGAAGATGGCACCTGCTGAGCCAAAAAGAAAAGTCTAGAATTAAAAAAAAGTGGCGCCTGCTAGCCTAACAAAGTAGAAGAGTGAAAACGGGTGTGTGCCAGTGCCAGCATCCCTGGAGGGAACCCAGCGGGCCCCGGCCCTCAGGCCGACACTTGATGAGCAGGTGAATCTCCTGGACAGAGTCTGGGTGCCTCTCTGTGGCCGCTGCATGTGGGTGCGGTGGCAGGCCGGTGCACGCCAGCCTCTGAGAGGGGCTTCTCGGTTTGCCTCGGCCTTTGGGCATCATGGACTTGTGCCCCATAGTTTTCAAAGCCAGGTGTTCTGAGGGCTCGTCCAGGTGTCTGTCTATTAAAAGTTGGGGCTCCTAGCATGGGAATGAACCATTGGCTCCACAGGGAGAAGCTCTTCCTCCCAATATCCTACGCGCCTCCCTGTGCTCTCGGCCTGTTTGCTGATGTGAAGGAGCTGCTCAGCCAGTTTTCGGAGGAAATGGTTCCCTATGTAGTTGTGGATTCAGCGAGTCTGTGGGAGGAGGTGAGTCCAGACCACCTTCCTAGAGCGCCTCCTTTGACTCCAGCTTTTGGTGGCTGCACTGGGGCTCTGAGGATGATGTCCTCATTTCTAGGAAATTGTGACTGAGGGTCTTAGGGCATCAGCTTGGCAGGCTTCCCTGAACCATTTTTGCTGTACTTGCAACTTTTCAATGAAATTGTTTCAAAAGGATCAAAGAACTTAAGAAATGTTGGTACCCTTTGATTAAATGATTTCATTTCTAGGAATTTATCCTGAGGAAATAATCAGAAACTTAAGCCAAGATTTATGTATAAAACTTCTGTACTTGGTAAATATGAAAATTAGCCAAGTATCTGTCAGGAAAATGACAAACAATTTAGGTATATTCATATTTTGCTGCTATTAAAAATACTGGTTATTGCCATGGAGAATCCTCCTAACATTATTCCATGAGAAATGACTCCCAGTGCTGTGTGGAGGCCATTATATATCCAGGGTCTGCCAAGCTATCTGTCTGATGGCTTTAAAGAAGTACCTAACCATTAGCACTGATTCTGGTGATATTACTGTGGGTGTTTTTCTTCTTTATCCACTTGATTTTTCAAATGAGTATGTGATTTTTTTAATTAAGGTATCATTGATATACACTTTTATGAAGGTTTCCCATGAAAAACCTTGTGGTTTTTACATTCACCTATATTATGAAGCCCTCCCCACACCCCATTGCAGTTGAGCATGTGATTTTTATAATCAAGAAAAAGTAAGGTTAAAAACCTCACAACCCTATTGTCCCCCAGGAACCTTTCAGAACTTTTAAAAGAGTTAAAAACATTCTTGGTCCTATAACTGCATAGAGTTCCTACAGTTTATTTATTATTTATTTATTTTTTTGTTCATCAAAAAACTTTAATAGCCTATTACTAGATACCTGTGATACTTATTTTTAATACAATCCCAAAAGAATTTTTATAAATAACAAAATTAGTAATTATAATTCATGTATTAAAACTATTATTTCTTACATGATACTATTTAAAACTTGTTCTAGCTTTTATTTATTTATTTATTTTTAATCTTGATATCACTAATATACAATTACTTGAACAACATTACGGTTACTAGACTCCCCCTATTATCTATTTGTAATGCCCTGTTTTCCCCCTTATCTCTCCCTTCCCACACATCCTCCCCAGTCTCTTTCCCTTTGGTACCTGTGAGTCCCTTCTTGGGTTCTGTGAGTCAGCTGCTGTTTTGTCCCTTCAGTTTTTTCTTTGTTCTTATACTCCACAGATGAGTGAAATCATTTGATACTTGTCTTTCTCCGCCTGGCTTATTTCACTGAGCATAATACCCTCCAGCTCCATCCATGTTGTTGCAAATGGTAGGATTTGTTTTCTTCTTATGGCTGAATGATATTCCATTGTGTATATGTACCACCTCTTCTTTATCCATTCATCTATTGATGGACAGTTAAGTTTCTTCCATTTCTTGGCTGCTGTAAATAGTGCTGCGATAAACATAGGAGTGCACATGTCTTTTTCAAACTGAGCTGCTGCATTCTTAGGGTAAATTCCTAGGAGTGGAATTCCTGGGTCAAATGGTATTTCTATTTTGAGTTTTTTGAGGAACCTCCATACTGCTTTCCACAGTGGTTGAACTGATTGACATTCCCACCAGCAATGCAGGAGGGTTCCCCTTTCTCCACATCCTCGCCAACATTTGTTGTTTGTCTTTTGGATGGCAGCCATCCTAACTGGTGTGAGGTGATATCTCATTGTGGTCTTAATTTGCATTTCTCTGATGATTAGGGATGTGGAGCATCTTTTCATGTAGCTGTTGCCCATCTGAATTTCCTCTTTGGAGATCTATGGTTTATTTTTATTCCCCTCATTTGCCCCATTGCCTGAGATGGGGCCTCCAAACTTGGCAGTGAGGGCATGCCTCCCACCTCCGGGAGGTGTCGAGGGTGAGATGGCTCACGTTTTTAACTAGAAGAATATTTTTTCTGATTACAGAATTGATTACTTGTGCTTTTCTGAAAACCTCAGAGGTAAAAAGGGAACCCCATCACCTCACCAAGACCACCACTGTTGGGCTCCCGGCCCTTGTGCTCTGTGTGTGTCCGGGATCTCAGTGCAGTGTCAGTGTGGAGCTGTCTAGATGTCCAGGGCTGTCCTTCCTTGTGTGTTGTCTGTGATTCACACTTTCTGAAGCACTTTCTGGGTAGCTTAGGTTGTAACACTTGCAGACTAGCAGCTGAGAAAAGGTGATGTGGGTAGAAATTTTGCTTCAGAGTATGGAGCTGTTGTGAGCTTCTGTACATGGCTTGGATTTCTTGTGGGCTCCAGGGCTCTTGTCCAAATGCCTAGAGGCTCAATGGTAGTCAAGTGCAGACCTTCTCAATGGCACCACGGCTGTGCCATCTCTGAGCAGGGAAGACGTGTGGGCTTCTAGTCAGAAAACCCTTTTTGTTTTGGTTGGTCCGAGATGGGACTTCCGAACTTGGCAGTGAGGGCATGCCTCCCCCCTCCAGAAGGTGTTGAGGATGAGGTGGCTTAGGCTGTCACCTGGGGCTCTTGGTGGTCTTTTTGAAGGGAAGTGCAGCACCTGGGAACTGTCCGCAGGTGGAGCCGAGGCCCCTGTCCCGGGTCCTACATTCCCATCGGCAGCACATCACTCTGGGGCTTCATGCACAGCCAGCCCTCTTGGCAGACTGGTTTCTGTTCATATACCCCTCACCAGGCTCCACCTCACTCCCACTTCCTTGCGTTTGCCAGCTGTGTCCGTCTGCCAGGCAGGGTCTAGTTAGGAAACCACCTGTGCGATTTAATGGGGGGAACTGATGACACTGGCTTTGGGTTCCTGAAGGAGAGGGTGGGACAGCTGCCCCCCAGGGCTGGTGTGACACGACGCACGGTGGCAATCAGAGCCCCCCCAGGCCACAGAGGCAGGATGCTGGGGGAGGGGGCTGGACCCGAACCCTGTCTCCTGTCCACTAGGCCTCCCGTTGGCAGGACCTGCCCCCGCACAGAGGGGTGGGTGGCCAGGCGGCGTGCCCTGGGCAGCTGAAGGTGGCTGGTTTACCTCTGATCATGGCACTGCTGCCAGACAGCATGCGTGACACAGTCCCCTGTTGGCAAAGTCCTGGTGTTGTTTGGGTGGCCAGTCCTCCCATCACGGGAAAAATGGGCTCCACGTGCAGGATCCAGGCCCACTGCTCTGGCAAATGCTGCGTTTGGAGTGTAACGTGACTCGGAACTGGCTCCGTCGCCTACAACAGGCTCTGGGATTGGTTACGTGCACGACCCGGTCAGGGAGGCTTGTGCTTCCCCACACACGGCCGTGCCCCTGCACATCTGGTCTGTCACGGGAGTTAGAAGGTGTGTCCAGCTAACCACCCACCTCAGCCTCATCTCATCAGACTGAGGGGGACAGTCCAGCTACTCCGGTCTTCCCAGCTCTAAACTGGAAGCAGGCAGCCCATCAGTCATGTCAGGAGGGTTCAGTAAGATGACTGATGCTTGTCAAGTTCCTGTCTCTTTACGTTTCTTATAGGAAGTACTGGTGCCATCACCTGATATTTGTAATTTATCAAACGAGCGGATCATGATGCGAGCATTGTATATTTAGTGATGTCAGAGTGGTAGTGTTAATAGATATTTGCAAACTAGGGTATATTTTGGAATAGCTATATGGTAAGTATTCAGAAAAGCTTTTTCAAAAGGACTTCAAAAAAAGGTTCTGAACCCAAGACATCTATCTCCTATCATAGACTATAATTTGATTATTTGAAATGGCCTACTACCTGCTTGGTGTGGGCTCACGTTCTCATCTGTAAAATGGGGACGCTACTTGTAGTGGAGGTGTGAGCGTGAGGATCAGGTCAAAGATGTGGCCACACAGGGGTCATCCATTTGACAGTAAGTTCTTCTCGCTCATCATTAGCACTGATTCTGTTACTCAGAACTCAAGTGAAAAGCACCATCAAAAGCAAGGATTTTATTCTTTGATATATAAAAACAAGAAAAGTTTAATGTCTAGTACAACATGATTTTTTTTGTTTGTTTCTTTAGAATAAAATGGCAGAAGTAAAGACCTGGGTAGAAAAATACACTCAAGAGGCTTTTCCATGAAGCTCAGAATTCCTAAAATTACCAACAACAGAGCACAGACTTCAGAGTAAGCCTTTTTTTCCTTTAAAATTTTTTTTTTTACATTTGCATAACAACTTAAAACATAGTAAGAAATATAACTTTCCTTCTTGGTAACAGATCCAGTTACAAAACAAGATATTCAACAGCCAGTAATAACTTAGTAAAAGAACATTTCTTCTGTGATAGTAACAGCATTAGAGTTTTGGTTCTATAATACCTGTCTTTGTAAAAAAAAACACTTCCGACTGCTGGGGTGCCAAATAAGCACCCCTCATAGCTCCGCGGGGCCTGTAAATTTAGGTGTCTGGACTCACACCCCAGGCCTCAAGGAGGCATCTTTGGTGTTCCCTGTGCTTGGGGACAAAATGGACAGCAACCTTGGCATACAGATACCAACATGATACACATGTGTGGGAGACCACAGCTTTGCAATAAAGTATATTTTCTGCCCAATTAATCTTTTGCAAAAGAAAAATAATCTGCTTTTTTCACTTAATGAATTCAGGAAAAATGAAAACATTGGTATTTTTTCCATGCTGTTAGCCTGACATCTGTGAAGTCAGGATAGTTCTGCCGATGACCAGCAGGGGGTATTGGCCCACAGGACAAGCAGCTGCAGAGTGTCCCCAAAGGCAACCTAGAAAAATATTTTTACCTGTGTTTATATGCAAGCTTTATTTGGTCAAAGTTTAGTTCTCAAAGTATGAGCATAACATTTTCTCATCAGTATTGAAAAATAAAATATACTTCATATAAAATTTAATGGGATCAAACATGAATTACCTTTAAAATTACTAAATACGTAAGTATTGCTAGGAGCTCATGAGGAAGTGGCAATGAATGTAATTTGAGTTAAAATCAGTAAATTCCGTGTGACTTGATTAAAAACAAAGATAACAAAACCTATGAATCTATCTGTGGGCTTCCACAGGCCTGTCTGGGGGTATGTGGTTGGCTTACCCATCATTTCTGCTGGAAACTCAAAACACTGCCCTCAGAGTCAATCACAGGAAAAGACTGTTTGTCTCAGAGTAAATACTGACTTTTGATCACGATGGTGTAGCTGAGCCTTACCTTCTAATCCAGCAGAGCTGCTTCTCCAAATTAAATTCACCCCCAAAGGCTGGTGACAGACCACGTCTGATGATCTCACAGAGCAGCCCACCTTCAGCCCTGCCATGACCGCTCCCTGGGAGTTCTCTTTCCCCAGTGATGCTGGGGACTGCCGCACCCATCTGGCTCCTTGAAATATGACTATACAAGCAATGTGAACATTTAAAATCAACCTTCTACAGTCATGTCTCCTATAGGCTTGGGCACATTTGTTCTTAAAAACCAGTCCCTACCTTCCTGCCACACACCTTCATCCCGCCAGCCGGCCAGCGGAATCAGTGTGCGTCGGCAGGAAGAACGGCGACAAGAGCATGCTGACACCTACTGTGTTTTTGCATGGGTTAGTCAAACAGGAATGACTATTTTAATTTGAAAATACTTCATTTTTAAAAATGAAGCTTTTAAAGATTAAAAATTAAGTATTGTACTTGGTCAGATGCTGTCTACCACTTTACAAAGGTGTGGGGTCTGCATCCGGCCTAGGGCAGAGTGCATATTCCCTGTGTGAAGTCTATAAAAATAGCACTTTTCTATCCATAGTTTGAAATAAAGAGTAGTGTCATTGGGGAACAGTGAGGGTTAAATAAAAACCATGAAGGGGTGATACAATTAAAAAAAAATTGGATGCACATTTAAAAAGGAGCTCCCGGTGGCCCATCCAGTCCCTGCGTGTGCAGGTGTCCAGGCCTGCAGTGTGACGGTGGCCTGCCTGGAGGCAGCAGCCGCTACAGCGTGACGGCCGGCCCATGCTCCTCCACTCCACCGGGTGGCAGCGCCAAGCTATGCCGCGGGTCGGCGCGCAATGAGCTCAGCAGGCGGCGCACGCTGCTCGGTGTCGGCCCTGAGCCATTGACGCGCACGGGCGCTGGGGGCCCGGGTGGTATGCCCTCCAGCACCAGGTCGGGCTCTTCGTCGCTGTCCGAGTCACCGGGCGCAGGGCGTGTGCAGGGCCTGCCCGAGCTGCCCGCCCGCCCGCGCACCACATTGTTGCGCTGGTTGGCGGGCTTGACAGTGACGATGAGGTTGTGGCTATTGGCGATCATCATGTCTGTGACCTGGTCCAGCGTCTTGCCCGCCACCTCGATACCGTTCACCTCTAGCACCTCGTCGTCCACGGCTAGCAGCCCACTGCTCTCGGCCAGGCCACCAGGCACCATGCGCGAGATGAAGATGCCTGGTACCTTCTCCAGGCCCTGAGGGGCTACGCGCACGCTTGTGCCGTCGCGGATGTAGAAGCCCAATGGCTTCTGGCAGCCGTGCCGGTACAGCCTCACTCTGCGGTGTGTTTCTGGCACTATGTCCACGTCAATGACTGAGGACACAGGGCGGAAGTCTCGCGGAAGGCCGATGTGCAGGTGAGCACGCCGGCGGGGCCCATCCTCGCGCAGCGCCAGCGCTTTCTTCCTCCGTGACAGCGAGCCAGCCGGGCCGCAGTGCTCGGCCTCTTCTGAAACAGCCCAGAGCGGACAGTCAGTGGCCGCCTCACTGCACCCTGTGCCCAGCCCTGGCCCTAACCCTTCCCGTTCCACCCAGGACAGTGAGGCAATGAGCACCACAATCCAGTTGTGGGTTAGAAATAAGTCCCACACTTGACTAGGATGTTAGTTATCAATTCATTTTGGAAATCTCAACCTGTAGGATGATATACAAGCACAGGAGTATCTCTCTGAAGCGATTCACTGTGCTCACCCAATTAGCTGAGCTGGCCCAGCATTCATCAGGCAGTTGTTTGAAGCCAAGTTCAAGTGCAATCACTTCCCTAAAATTAGCACTCTGGAAATCGCCAAGCTGACCACAGACATCCATGGAAATGCTTAAAAGGTGAAGAGGCAGGAATAAGATACTGCACTAAATAGTAGATGGAAGGTTTAAAGTGCCTGACTGGATTCTGTAAAGATGGTGGGGTGGGAAGCATGGGGAACCCTTCCCCACCTGGATGACTGCAGGGCCAGAATCCACCTGATGGACCAGTTTTGGAACTCCGGTCACTGTTGAAAAATTGCAATTGACAGGATAGGAATTCAACTGTCATTCTGGTCCATTTTGGTCAATTTCATCTATGAGCACAGGTAGCAGCTCCCTGTCCCCACCCCAGCTGCATGGCAGGCAGCTGGGCACCTAACCCTGGAGCACACACGTGTGGGAGCCAGGGTGGGAAAACGGACCCTGTCCTCAAATGCTGGGGATGTGTGCTCTTATTGTTGCGTCTGAGCACGCAGAGATGGGTGGCCACTGTTTTTGCCCCCCTCCCCCCAGCTCAAGTGACTTCCAGGGGACTTAAAGGGCCGGCATCCTTACCCCCTTCACTTCCCCCCTTTTCCCCTCTTGGAAGCCAGACATTAAAGACTAGGACATTCAAAACAATCACATACACAGGGAAAACCAGAGGGTGACTGAACATGCCCATGGGAAGACTCAGGAAAGATGTAAGAAGACACTAAGCTGACCCGTGGGCTGGCCCTGAGCACAGAGATAGCCCACAGCAGGAGAAAGAAGGGCGAACAAAGACTGACAGAAACCAGCAATCCCTGAGAAAGGGGGAGAATGAGACCTCTGGAGTTACATTATTGTATCCAAATGTCCAATGTTAACAAAAACTAAGGAGGCAGTCTACTAAACACAAGAGAAGATAGGAGTGCAGCATATGAGGGACAAAAAAAAGCTTCAAGGCATAAAGAAAATAAATAGCACAGTCCCTACTTTATCAGTTATTACTTTAAATGTAAATAGAGTAAACTCTCCAATCAAAAGATAGAGATTGGCAGAATGGACAATACACATGATTCAACTATATGCTGCCTGCAAGAGACTCACTTGAGATCCAAAGACATAAACAGGTTGAAAGTGAAAGGGTGGAGAAGATACTCCATGCAAATAGTAACCAAAACAGCAGGGGTGGCTATACTAATATCAGACAAAATTTAAAAGTTACATAAGAAGGACATACCGTATTAATAGCTCCATACAGCAGGATAGTAATTATAAATATTTATACACCTCATGACAGACCATCAACATTATATGAAGGAAGAACTGACAGAACTAAAGGGAGAGACAGTTCTACAACAGTGGGTGGAGACATCAATAGCCCTCTCACAAAAATGGGTACAAAACCCAGACAGTAGGTAAGTAAGGAAATAGAGATCTTAACACAGCCACACAGCCAGATCTGGCAGGCAGGTACAGAGCACTCTCCCCAGCAGCAGCAGCAGCAGCACATGTCTTCTCAAGTGCACATGGGACATTTTCCAGTATAGACCACATGTTAGGCCACAAATTAAGTCTCAACAGATTTAAAAGGTACCATAGAAAGTATCATCTCTGACCACAACAGGATGAAGGTGGAAATCAATAACAAAGAAAACTGGAAATAATCACCAAATTGTTGAAACTAAACACTTTCAAACAACTAATGGATCAAAGAAGAAATCACAGGGAAATTAGAAAATACGTAGAGATGTACAAAAATGAAAATGCAATGTACCAAGACTAATGGTATGCAGCAAAGTAGTGCTAAGGGGAAATTTATAGCTACAAGTGTTTGCATTAAAAACCAAGAAAGGTCTCAAATCAACAACCTAACTTTTATGTCTTAAGGAACTAGAAAAACAGGAACAAACTAAGCAGAATGAAGGAAATAATAAAGATTAGAGCATACATAAGTAAAATAGAAAATAGGAAAATAGAGAAAAATCAATGGAACAAAACTTGGTTTTTCAAAAGGATCCAACAAAATTGACAAACCTTTAGCAAGATGGACTAAGAAAGAAGAGAAAACTCAAATTACTAAGATCAGAAAATAAAGTAGGGATATTATTACCATTTCTACAAGAAAAAAAATTTTTTAAGAGTGCTGTGAACAGTTGTTCACCATGTAATTGGATAACCTAGATGAAATGGCCAAATTTCTAGAAACAGTAAACCTACCAAGTTATGAAGAAATGGAGATCTATAAAAAGTAAGGATATTAAATTAATAATCTAAAATGTCCCAGGAAATAAAAGCCCTGGATGGCTTCACTGGTGAATTCTACCATTTAAAGAATAACTAATACTCATTCTTCTCAAACTTTTCGCACAATTTAAAGAGGAGGGAACACTTCTCAACTTTTTCTATTAGGCTAGCATAACCCTGATACCAAAGCCAGATGAAGACACTACAAGGAGAGAAAACCATAGACTAATGTCCATTATGAACATTGATACAAAAGTCCTCAACAAAATACTAGTAACAGAATTCAGCAGCATATTAAAAGGATTATACACCATGACCAAGTGGGATTTATTCCTGGAATGCAAGGATGGTTCAATACACAAAAGTCAATTGGTGTAATTGACTATCAACAAAATAAGGCGAAAAAACACATTATCATTTCAGTTGATGCAAAGCATTTGACAAAATTCAAAACCCTTTCAATATAAAAACACTCAACAAAATAGGGATAGAAGGAAAATACCTTCACATAATAAAAGTTATATATGAAAAATCCATAGCAAATACAATACGCAGTGGTGAAAGACAGCTTTTCCTCTGAGATCAGGAAGAAGACAAGGATGCCTGCTTTCATCCTTTCTATTCAATATATACTGGAAGTTTTGACCAGAGCAATTAGGCAAGAAATAGAAATAAAAGTCATCCAAATTGTAATGGAAGAAGTAAAATATCTGTTTGAAGATGATATGATCTTATATGTAGAAAATCCTAAAGTCTCCATAAAAAATGCTTAGATCTAATAAATGACTCCAGTAAAGTAGCAGGACACAGTATCAACACACAAAAAAGTAGCAGTTCCATTTCTATACTTGAGCAATGAATGATCTGAAAAAATTACAGAAGAATTCCATTTAAAATAGCATGAAAAAATATTTAGGAATTAACCACATTAGTAAAAAATTTGTACAATGAAAACTATAAATGTAGCTGAAATAAATTAAAGATGTAAATAAATGGAAATACATCCCATGATCATGACTTCAAAGACTTGTTAAAATGTCAAAATCATACTAAATGCTCTATAGATTCAGTGCAATCCCTACATGAACTACCAATGGCTCTTTTTTTTTTTCAGAAATAATAAAACATCCTAAAATTCATACTGAAACTCAAGGGACACCAAGTAGCCAAAACTATCCTGAAAATGAAGAGTAAAACTGAAAAACACTTCTTGATTGGAATACTATCTACGAAGCTAATAGTAATCAAAACAGTGTGGTACTGGCACAAAGATAGCATATAGACAAATGTAATAGAGTAGAGATCCCATAAATAAACCCTTGCATATAAAGTCAAGAGGGAAAGAAGAGTTTTCTTAACAAATGCTGAGAAAACTAGATATCCAAGTGTAAAAAAATGAAGTTGGGCCCCACTTAATGCCATATACAAATATCAACTCAAAATTGATCAAAGACCTAAATGTAAGACCTAAAACTATAAACTCTTAGATAAAATATAGAAGAAAAGCTTCAGGATATTGGATTTGGCAATGATTTCTTGGGTACAACAAAGGCAACAAAATGAAAAATAGACTAACTAGAATTCATGAAGATTTCAAAAAACTTACTCTGTTGGCAAACCACAGAATTGGGGGAAAGTGCTTGCAAATTATGTATCTGCTAGGGATTAATATCCATAATATAGACAGAGGTCCAAAAACTCTATAACAAAAACAAAAACCCTTTAAAATTGGGCAAAGTTTGCTACATTAAAAAGTATTAAATCAGTAACATACAGATGAACTAATATAATGTCATATATTCATATATCTCCATTAAAAGAATAAAACAGTTAAAGTAATGGCAAAAAAAAGAGGGGTTGGCAAAGAATTTGAATAGCCATGTCTCCAGAGAAGATATACGGATAGCCATTAAATCCCTGAAAAGATGCTCAACATCACTTATAATCAGGGAAATGTGAAGCTGCAGGAAGATACCATCTTACATCAGTCATGATAGCTACTATATATTAAAAAAAAAGAAAATAAGTGTTGATGGGCATGTGGAGAAGCTTGGAGTCCGTGTGCACTCTTGGTGGAGTGTAAAATGGTGCAGTTACTGGGTATAAACCAGAATGGCTGGTCTTCAAATAATTAAAAATAGAATCACCATATGACCCAGCAATTCCACTTCTGGGTATATACCCAGAAGAACTGAAAGCAGGGGCTCAAAGAGATGCTTGCACACCACATTCACAGCAGCACTACTCACCATAGCCCAAACGTGGCAGCAGCCCAAGTGTCCACTGACCGATGAATGGACTAACAAATGTAGTCCCGTCCATACAATGGAATATTATTCAGCTTTAAAGAGGAAGGAAATTCTGATGCCTGCTACAGCATGGGGGAGCCCGGAGGACACGAAGCCCAGTGAAATGAGCTCATTGCACAAATACTGGATCATTCAACTTGTATGCAGTGCTTAGAGTCACCACAGTCACTGAGACAGAAAGTGA